TGCTTTGCCCCGTGCTAAACTACAAAGCAATGGGATGTCTGCTTTGCCTCATGCTAACCCACAAAGCAATGGGATGTCTGCTTTGCCTCGTGCTAACCCACAAAGCAATGGGATGTCTGCTTTGCCTCATAATACCCCACAAAGTAATGGGATATCTGCTTTGCCTCATGCTAACCCACAAAGTAATGGGATATCTGCTTTGCATCATGCTAACCCACAAAGCAATGGGATATCTGCTTTGCCTCTTAATAACCCACAAAGCAATGGGATATCTGCTTTGCCTCGTGCTAACCCACAAAGCAATGGGATATCTGCTTTGCCTCTTAATAACCCACAAAGCAATGGGATATCTGCTTTGCCTCATAATAACCTACAAAGTAATGGGATATCTGCTTTGCCCCGTGCTAACCTACAAAGCAATGGGATGTCTGCTTTGCCTCGTGCTAACCCACATCGCAATTGGATATCTGCTTTGCCCCGTGCTAACCCTCAAAGCAATGGGTCACTGTTTCTGAAAAGAGAAATGTTGCCAAAAATCAGCCCAAGAATGGCTTGACAAAATTAAGTGCCAATGGTATTGTCTTTAAGCCAGCATTATAGAGCATGTGACAGCTGCTTTGGAAATGTTTCTTGTCTAACACTGTAATTATCTTGGATGAAACCAGCATTTTCATTATCCACTGTAACCCCAGCAAGCCCTGTCGCTGTGATATTGGGATTCACTTGGTTTTTAACGCTTCTCTGACCATCCAAGGTCGGTTGCATTTCTTTCTAAATCATTTTTGAACGGTTGCAATTTGAGTTACGGCTGCACCTATTAAAACATTCTGGTTAGTCTCGTCAAGATCCGCAGCATTGTCTTTCTCACATAGAGAAAATGTTATTTTCTGCTTAGAGATAAAATTGTCAAATCAATTTAGGATTTTCAGGTCATATATCATGTTGTATTATCAACGCAGGCACAGGCACCATATGAGCGTCGAGTCCCGATGGTGAGCACCCACTAGCTGTGAATTTATGCAGATTAAAACAAAATCTAATGCTAATTTGAGTATCTCAATGCAGTCAGTCCTTATAGGGAATTAACATGGAGGAGACTATTAGATTATCTAGTATTCTAGCTGCATTATAAAACGTAATGAACATATAGTGACTTTCAAGATGGAGGTTTGATTACCGCTGTATACTAATTAAGAGCCCATTATGACTTCTTCCATAGCTTTCTTAGTTCCCACAAACTGCCAAATAACCAAATCTCTTGCCCATATAATGTATAATTTTCAAGCCCAATACCATATTTGTTAAAATAAACCTATCATTTCAACTCTCACACCCAAAGCCTGTAACTAAGGTAGGTAATTATATATCTATATCACAATATATATGGTGGTTGTTTCAGTTCTATCCGAGCATGTTCTAACATAATGTATAATTTTCAAGACCAATACCATATTTGTTAAAATAAACCTACCAGTACAACTCTAAAGACACCCATAGCCTATAACTAAGGTAGGTAATTATATATCTATATCATAATATATATGGTGGTTGTTTTAATTCTGTCACAGCAGGTTCTAACCGACTATTGGTTTACATAGAAAACGCTGGAGTAGTACAGGAACTATGGTACGATCTTACTAGTTTGAAATGCACCCTAAAATAGCATACGATGTACATCTTTTTGTATTTATGCCCTCCTACATACTTTATATACTAGTGAAATGCTTGTATCTTTGCTTCATATAGACGGGACATAACATTGAAACTCTATGTATCTATATAAAACGGAATTGGACTGGGTTGATCACCAGCGCCCAGGTAACACAGTCGGCTAGAGTATCCATCTAGAGTTTGGAGGTACTTAGGTCTGACTGTGTATTTTTCCTGTAAGATTTGCCACCCAATGAAATATACCCATTGAAGGTACATGATATAGGGTCTGTTATATATGTTTTAATTTACAAAACAGAAACATGTTATTGAGATTGTATGTTTGTATCTTTATATAATATATAGCACAGTGACATTTGTATCCGACACTGATGCTACTGTCCACTGTTGACAAGAAAGCAGTCTATTTCACTGATGGTAAGTACTCCCTGTTGATTTCAGAATGACACATATGTCTGTGCTAGCTCTAGCCTGGTGACACATCGCTATACAGGCATGCAGCCTCCGCAGGACCACTATCGTCACTTCTGATCTCAATACCTCATCAGCACTCATCTCACAATACCTTCTGGTCATGTGTGTCCCCGACCAATCTCTCCTCATAGGTGTATCACAAAGTTTATATTGGAACATGTGTTTCAGTTTTTATTTATGAATTGAATAATTTATTTTACAATATGTTACCATATGACATTTATAATATTTTCACATCAAAACTGTTTTCTGACAGGAAGTTTAGACATTTTTTAACCTAAACAAACAATACATTTTCCCATCTATTTACACACATATCCATAGACAACTGTTTTTTGATGGTAAATATCTATTGTAGTTATTTTTCAAACCTGAAATGGTACAAAAACCTAACTGTAGATTGTTCACACTCCGGTGCTCCGATCTGCCTCTATTTAAAGTCACTGAGGTGTGGTATTCCATAATTGTTAAAACATGTTACAACATTCACTGAAACAACATTAGTGTAAGGTTCGACGACAACAACGGACACGCTCATTGTGTGGGACAGTATCAGCCTCTACATCAATGATGGCCCTCCAGTTTGTTAGGTTAAGCTAGCCACAATAGTTACAATAGTTACAAGATTGATTGAAATTGGAATTTTCAAGGTTCATTGATGTCTTTCAATGGGTTTAATTGATTGGGGCCTTCCCCTCCCCCAACTCATTGACAATTTCCACTATAAAATCCTATACTCACCCCTCCTCCTCATTAGACTGACTAGTGATATACCCCACTTTTCAATCTCACTCAAAGACCATGCCTTTGGTAACCTCTCCAACTCACTCAAATTACCTTCTTTAAACTGCCCACCCAACTCTAACGATAAACAACAGCTCCTCCTTGGACTTAAACAATCACATCTCATGAAGTACTGACCCCCTCCTCAAAAAATTTCAACAGTAGCTCTCTACCTACTAAACTGACGACACAGCTGAATTCCCCTCCCTTATACCTTCACCAATATTTATTCATAATCCAGCCTCGCTGTATACCTGGACAAGGTATAGGAAATCTTCTACATCACAAGGATCATCAAACTGCAAGGTTTAACCCACGCATGCATGAACTAATGCAGACATATATAATTTATGATACAATGCCATACATACAGTATTGTAGTCAATTCCCTGGAGTCATGGTGTCAAGTTCAAACACATAACATCGTGTATCAGTGTATTCTTATTGATAAGGATCCATATTCAGTATTTAAAGATAAACAACAAGGCGAGGGATTTTTACAAAGTTATTACCATTTTCAAAAAATTTCATCAAAAAAAGTATTTCAAAGTCATTCTAACATTATTGATATTTATTTATTTTCTAACAATAAAATAAGTTAATTTACAAAATTATGAACAGTTTAAAATTGTTTTCATTGAAAACAGTGCTTTAAGGTTATTTTAACACTGAACTAAGTTTTAATTCAAATCTTTACAACAATAGCGCCTTGTTGTTGCTTCTTTGCTAACAAGCAACCTGTAGCAGGTTCACAGTCAAAATCCCAGTGGATTGAGCCCCTATTCCAAATCACTTGAAATCATAAAGGAAATGTTCGACTCTGTGAAAGCTGAAATATGTATAATTCATCAGCCGTAAAATAATCATATTGAGAGGCCTAGACAATTCCTCAGTGGAAGTTGAAGTATTGTTGTACAGTTGTAACGAGCTCTTTAGTCTGCAGCCAGAAGGAGAGACCTAAGCTTCTTTCACCCGTTATAGTAAGAATTCTGACACGCATAATATTGTATCCATCCTCTAAAAAGATTGTGATGTCTTTTAAACAGCACTAGATCACACCAATGTTACATCATTCAAAATTATATATTGCAGTCTAGGTTTTTTCGTTGTGTGTAACCCAAGGCTCCATTCGCCAGTACTAATCAGATTGTGAACATTTTATTTCCGAATGTTCTAATAAATTCTGTACCAGGTGTTCAGGCATTTCAAAATGCTGCAGTTCAAAAAGTTGATTTACTAGGAATAGCAATGGATTACATATAGACTTGCATCTTAGATTCTGTATTGAACCAGATTGTCTCTTGATCAACTTGACAGAGGCTACGATAATGTGTAGTGGTGATTTAAAACAGTACCACACTGTATCACCTACAATTTCATGTTTCTATGGAAGTGCTATATATGAAGTGTCGATTCCTTCACTTGCGTGAAGAACTACAACAGTTAGATAGTGGATGGTGAAGAGCTCTGATACGCCTGGAAAGCCCAGAAGTGGAATTACATTCTCAAAGACAGATACAATCCAGACTGGCCTGATGGATTGTACATTGTTGTGTACAGATATCATTTGGTGTCGGTGTTTTCAAAGTGGGTCAAGTTTAGACTGTGTTAAGAGGATGACAATGGTTTTAAAATGGAATTCTAGAAAAAAACATTATTTGCATTTGACTGAAAATCATTTGGAAATTTTGTGAAAATTATTTTGTTAAATCTGCAACTTTTGTTTTAATAATTTTAATATCATGTATCGCATTAACTTCCGAAATCAAAACCTTCATCTGTTCGCACCTATAGTTTTAAACATTCATTTCCCGAAACACAATATACTTTTAATGTTAAAAATAATATTTTCATTTAATTTTCATTTTTGAATTAAAATATTCATTAATTTAGAGCTAAGATATTACTGATAATATCACTGATATTACGGTATTTCTATAAAGTTTCTGTTACTAGTTTGACCGTGAGAAGTTTGTAAGACAACCTCCACACGGTTGTATAAAAAAATGAAATTTTTGTTCCCGCACAAATATACCTGAAAATAAATCGGTATGAAATTTAAATTCTCTTACCTGCTAGAGTAGCGATAAATATCCAACTCCACAGCAGTACATCCCAGAACTCAACGATTTTCCACATTTTACTCCTCATCCCGTGTTACAGCAACTGATCAACCCCACTCGCTGATCACACATCTCAAACCTCAGATTGCCGACTGCTTGTCCACATAAAATGGAAGGAAAAAAATTCTGGTAAAAAAATTTGATTGAAATTACATCGTGATCCTTAATTAATGTTGTATATGATTAAATTCACATTCAATATCCATGTGCAAGTTTCAGGTCAGTCTGTCCACGAAAAAAAACCCCAACTGGCAATGAAAATTATTTGTTGGAAATAATTGCATTACATCATAATCCTAATAATGGGTTCAGGTTATTCACAACAACCAACCTGTATTCCAGTCAAGTTATTCTGTTAAGAATTGTTTCGGTATCAACCACTCTGTTACCACCTAGTCAACGTGTTCAATGGAGAAACTCTATACACACCAATGAATACACACACCACAGGCCCACCACCATTGGATGTGATAGCCTTAGGGGGTTGGACAATTGATAATAGTAGGTCACGGATACAAGCACCCATACAAGCTCAGCTCCTCCAAAATGTGATAGAAAAACCTCCTGATGAGGACAGGACGCTACGCATCTCTCACATCTCGTGTCACCGATTCCACTGAAAACCTTCACACACACACAAATAGAGGAATTGTTCAAGCAGCATCAGACCCTAATTCATTAATTCTGCGCCGAAGATCCTATGTCAGCTTCTTCCTGATGCGTCAAGGTATAAAAAATTCATCACACTTCATTACCGCACTAACATCCCAATACACCTCTGGTCCAGGACATCGGTGTGCTGAAACAACAGATAGTCTGTCCGAAAACACACCTGGAATAATACCTACACAAAACACTGGTAGAAAAGTATAATATCAGTCCACTATTCTCCAATGCTACACTACAACTATACTTGTATATCGTCGGTGAGCGCTCTTTGTGTTAAGCCTGCTTGCCTCCATCCACTGGAGTCACTCAATGGATCGGAGTGAGACAATGTGACTCACATACGACGTTCGTAGCAATGGAATGATCTTATCGTGAATCTTGATGAATCAATGAGTGGGTTCAGTTAATCGTTCAAGCTTTTAATTTCATTTATTATTGGGTGGTAACAATATCTGGTGTCTTCTTATTGTGTATGTTTTTTAAGCCACTAATGTAGTGTGGAGTTGTCGGTAGGGGGTAGACGTGGGCCACGCGCCGTCTCGGTCAAGGGGTGGCATGTATGTTTGACTAGGGAAAGAAAAACCCTGTTGTTGTCACGTTGAGAACGACAGCAGATACTGGCGTTGTCGCCGGGGTTATGTATTGACGATCAATACAGAGAGTATTAAAGTGACTAACAACATGTGAGAGAAATACAAAAAGCAGGATATAAGCTAACGAACATACAAATGATGACAGAAATACAATATACCACCTCCCGTACAACTACACCTTCCTACCATTCAATGCGCCGGCTGGAGAATCAGTGAAATCAAGCCTGTCTGTTTGACAGAATACGGCTGAAATTGTATCTGTAAGCGTCTACTCGCCTCCTTAAACCTTGCCATTAACAACCACCCTCATCAACAGTTTCGCACCTCGTTACTAGACTTGTGCGTTCCATCATAATTTTGTCATTTCTTGTGTAAAATATCCACATAGTGACGCATTTAGATTCTTAAGTGGTTGACGTTGAATTCAGAAACATCAAATCTGAATATAGATATTTTTAGGATTCATAAAAAGACAAAAGGTTTGGTTATGTATAGGAAGGGGATGTGGGCCTTCTAAGCATCTCTAGTACCGCTGTTTATGATGTTTCCCGCACGATGCAGCACTTCGGCACTCACATGCCTTTATAGTCCTCATCAAATTCTATCGTATTAATCATGAAAGTGTGATATAAAGAATATTATTGGAGAAGCGCTATGAACATTTTTTTTATCCGTTTATACATTTATGACAAGATTATCGTAGTTCTTGCCTTCATCACTTTACAAACCAGTAATTACAAAAACGAAAAATCGTTAAATGCATATTTTTATGTGTTGCCTTTATCAGCTTCACCTAAAGGAAAATCATTTGGGCTTTCAAAATGATTCTGCAAAAAGGTGTAAAAAAGCAAAACATTTTCTTATCATTGTTGTTCAATCCAATTTTTTTTCTCTCCAAAATATTTAAGACTAAACAATGAATTATAAATTGATATTAACCTTTTTCTGATTTAAAAGAAATCACCAAAAAAGTTTCTGCAAAGAAATGAATACATCATCAGATAATCGTATCAAAATCCAAATAATTTTATTCAATTTCCCATAACTTTGTCAGGAAATGAAAATTGCCACTGTCATGTTGCTATCGGCAAAGATCACCGATCACAGTTACCGAATATCGCGTGGTATCCGTATAAAATAATGCACACACGTGGACTAATTTTGTTTCCTTATTTTTTCTTCTTTTTTAAATTACTAAATAAATTCTGTGTTCGCCAATCAATATGACCTGAAGTGCAAGCAATGTAATTATAGAACCGATGACATCTGGTCGAGCTTGGAGCTCGGACCCCCAGGCTTCAAGCCACTTATAAGCAGCATGGGTAATGTGAACTGGATCAGTACCGTATAACGTCAATCTAGAATAATGGTAGCTCCCACACCAGCAAACCATCAAATCCCCCCTCCTCTAGCAGCAATGTTGGACTCAAGTAAAATAGGACGAATTAAAAGTGTGTGGAAATGGTCAATAGCCAAATATAGCTTTGTCCACTAGGGTCAGTACTTCAGGTCACGCATTATGATCAAGATTTAACAGGAATACCAGCTGTGGACCTGCATGGTCAAACAGTGCCTAAGGCTCGCTTAATTATTACCTGGGCTGGTCAATGATTACAATTATTACTGGTAACTCATCAACGTTTCACGTTTTGTTTCGGCCATTATATCTTTCCTATTGATTTAATTTCAAAAGAAAAAAACCAAAAACATCTTTTGCTATAAATAAAAATTGGCAACAAATGTCGAAAGCATAACCAATATTTGTAAAAGCAGTACGTACTAACAAATGGAGCATATGTTTTTTATTGGTGTTCTTATAATTCTATCTTCTTAGTTCTATCTTTTCAGATTAACCTTTCTTTAACATTAAAGCAAGCTGTTGATGATTTACTGGCAGGTAGGTCTGGGCAGAGAGTGTCAGTAAATTAAAATGATTCAGGCGTCATCGGAGAAATAAAGAAACAGACCCATTGTTACGACTAGGATCCCATAATAAACGAGATGGGTGGCTTTACATAAGAAGCTTGTTATCAGAGGCGCACTTTAAAGCGAACAATAAAAAGTGGATTTTGAATAAGAAAATGACAAAAAAAGTAAGTTGATGTACCCCGAGGAGTTAAAATGTCACTGGGACTCCAGTGTTTCCTTTCAGCCGACATCAATGACAGACATTATGAAGGAACGACCCAGGGTCAAAGGTCACTCAAGGAAATCAACAATGTTGATCGTAACATTGAAGGAACCCAGGTGTCAAATGACTTTATCAGATACACTAAGCACTGTCAACTTATAGCATTGTCAGTCTTCCAATAAGAAAATTGAAATTTCAAAATGTTGAAAATATTTTACATGTGTGTTGTGAATATAAAATGTTATCTGCTAAAAATTACATAATTCAAATAAAAAATATTCACTTTTTTTTTTTTAAATTCTGCAACACATTAAGTTGAATTTAACTACTGTCATGAAATTTAGAGTTTATATACCTATGGTATATATAAGATGTTGGTCTACTACCAGGAACAGGTTCAGGTCAATCATTTAAAATCAATTTATGCATAGAATAGTGCGCAGATAATCGTTATTATATTATTAAGGCTCACATTATCTTCAGCCAAGACCCTATTACCCATCTGATTTATAATATATGTTTGAAAAAATCCATATTTATGAATCAGTAAGTCACTGTCTGGGACTGGTTAGATGAAATACACAGTCTGAAGTCAAGCTGACAATGCTTTGCATTTCCGTGTTTGCTGTGACCAGGTAATGGAGCATGAACCGATTGTAGAAGGCTCTTGGTGTGTTTGTAAGGAGGACAGGCTGCTCCCTGTTATAGCCGTTATAAAAACCGAACATTTTAAAACTAGTTTTAAATAAATCTTTACCATTTATAAAAAAAAGAGAAAAGTTTAACTAAAATCATTATGGAATCCTAGTTTTCACTACAAATAAAATTTAAACAAATGTTTGGCTATAAGATCTAACCCACACCCAACCAAATTAAACTAATGAAATTCCCATCTGCATAAATCTATTTTCCTTTCTCTAGTCTTTATTTACAGAACATACAAATGATTGTATATTTAACAGAAACAACAGGTCTGGTGACTTATATAGAAAGGAAATCAGTCTGTCGGTCTGGTTTAACACTTTATCTATATCACAAACAAAATTGTGTGTGACTCCAAAATTGCTCTGACTATAAAAATGACACCTTGCTATAGAGAAGGCTAAATCCTAGTGTTAACATTTATATACAAAAAATGAAATTCCTGATATATCCACAGCCCATGATAATGAATGTATAATCATAATGGCCCCTCTCCACTTTTTAATTTAGATTTATTGCTCGATTAATATGAACGTTTATCACAGGGAGACTTTCCTAACCTTTAAATGCGGGGCAGTATCTTTCTCCATTTGATGTGAATTGTCGGTATATGTACTGCTTAGATCCACGAGAATAATGGAATTCTATCCTTCGATATCAATAGCTAGTGCCACGCTGGCCACAATGCCGCCTTCGACTACTGGAGATCACAGCTTTCATCAGTATCTACGCCACTATACATGTGCTACAGACACAAACTTATCAATGTGAATTAACTTCCTCCATTTCAGGAGAGCTGATTTGAATAGTTTGACAGAGATGGCATCATTATCATTCAATTTATCCATTCCATATGGTTATCATATTAACGAGACCGAGAATTTCGGTGTAAAATTTCAGAGATCTATGTCAAAACAGTGCTTGAGTCCCTTATAGCCATATAACGTATCCAATAAATCGGAAACATTAATTGTGAACTGTTTGCTTAATAGCTTTC